GGACTGCGGCCCCCACGTCCGTAGTGGGAGACAGCGTCTAGCCGCTCCTGGTGCACGCCTCCAGTTTCGTGTGTCTCCGGGTGTACGAGGGGGACGTCGCACAGCCAGCAGCTGTTCCCCTGGTCCAGGAGGCTAGGCCAGAGGGGGTAGCGTATTCCCTCCGAAGGGCGGTGGGATGGTGTCGCCGGGCTGCCCTGCCTCTGGTTTCGGTTATTATTTCCATCGTCGTTGACAGACGAAGTTGACTGCCCCAATCTTTCGGACGCCGTCCTCGTGGCCACCGCGTTGCAGAGGAGCCTGCTCCAAGCTGGTCCCCCCGCCGCGGACGGGGTTGACCCGTTCTGCAGAAGGTTCGCTACGGCAGGGTCACATGAATTTGCTCCCGCCGGGCTCGCAAGGGGGCTCTGCCTATATCAACCGGCTACACTACCGTGCCTCCTCCGTAATGGCCGCCTCCATGGTTTGGCGCCCTGCGAGTCGGACCACGGGAATCCAGGATGTCCACCCTGGTTGACTGGGAAGGCCCTGTGGTCCACGCACTGCACAGGTTGGCTCCCCCTATGCACGGGCTGCCCATGAGTGGCGCACGTCGAGCTCCTCCCCGCCGGTCGTTTCGGGTGGCCATTCTCTGTGACAGAACGCTGCTATATGCCTGCAGAATCATTGCACTCTGCTCCACCCGCTTTTGCGAAGGCCCGACCTGACCACCGCGCTCGTGGCCGCGAGCAAGAGGTCGCTGGAGCAGGACGCTCCCCATCTCCTGGTCGCGAAGGAAAAGCTCCTTCAAATCGGCGACGTAAACGTGCCCAGACTCTTAGCCGAGTGAGTCCGTATAGGTAACACGCGGCAGTTGCGTCGTCAGCTCGGGGCCCTTCCCACTTTGAAGCCAGCGAGGTAGCGAAACCACAAGCCGCGCTGCTCAGTGCGCGGGTTCTTCGTAAGACCCCGTCCCCGGCATTGAATTCCAGGTGACGATGACTCTTATTGTCACACGCCGCCTGCTCGATCTTTGCGGTATCGGCATTGCGACCGGGGGCTTTGATGTTGTAGACAACCACCTTACACTGATAGTGACTCTTCATCGGCGGCACCAAACCCGGAGGCTTCCCGCCTCTCGGCTTCGCTTTTTGGTGAGCCGGCCATGCACGAGTGTACCTAAATACGCCCAGGCTCATTCCCGGCCAGGTCGCGGCGCGACATAGCTTATAAAACGTCTTGCTGCCTCTGCTATAACCAGCCAGTGCGGAGACGTGGAAGTACCCGATAGTAAATTGGGACCCTGAAGGGAGACTATTACCCTCCTTTACATCGATCGCCGGGATGCAGCGAAGCAACAAGCCGTTTTCGCCCAGCAGATATGAATCAAAGCTAGCACTTGGATTCATATCTGCTGAACGTATTCAGGTACATATGAGGTACACGACGTATTCTCATCTACTTTCTGGGCCTCGACAATCTTTTCCCTGCTTACCACTTCACCCCAAAACCCTGCTCTTTCGTGCAGCGCAGACTCCCGATCTGGGAGTCTGCGGTCTCTCTTGTCCACGCGCAGACGGGATCCAAGGTGTCCTCAGCTGGTGGAGGTGGGCTATGTGCGCATCCAGTTCCTGTAAGGAGTCGTGGAATTCCCGATACTCGCGAGAGCGGCTCGAACATTGCCGTCATATCGCGCATCAGCTCACCAACATCTCCCTCGCCCGCCGATAGAGCTGGAGTCCCAGGCTTCGACAGCATTCGGGAGCCCATGACACCGCTCACCAGAACACGTCCGGCGGCGACCGACCCCGCTGAGCCTCACTAGGAAACCTGTCCCTATTCGCAGTCATGCTGGACCTCCCATCGACGGGCAACGTTGTTTCTCACAATAACGAGCGTTCAGAGAGTTAGGTGCGTCATGCCCCCAAAATGATTGAGGAACGCGTCGAGTGTAACCTTAAAAGGACGACCGAAAGCGAGAACCAGGTGATCGGGCGCCACGTTCGAGCGCCAGATAATGTGGGTGTCCACCGTAGCAAAGGCCTGATCAGGCCCCGCCTCGACCGCACTGAAGGAGATATCACAACGTAAGGTACTATGGATCTACTAGTTTGACGATCTGGAGGAAGCGTCTTGTCCTTTCCCCGTTCGGTTGCCGACCATCCTCGATCTCGATGCCCGAGCTCTGCCCCGTTCCATCCTAGACTTCTTCTCACTTGGCCCCCACGGGCCTAAGTCCGGCCCCCTTGTGGCAACGATCCCCACAAGTTATAACCTGGTTTGAACGAGTACGAGGGAGTCAGTAGCTGAAACAATATTGTAAGTGTTTAGCTGAACCGGAACCGAACCGAAACAAAATACAATGCTACTAAATCAGGTGATGTGATTCAACAGCCTGAACTATTAAATCATATCACTTAACTAAGAATTGCCGTCATTTGGCTAAACAAACCTGAACCATATATCGATCTCTCCTAGAATGAGCTTCAAGAGAACGCCGACAGTATTGATAAATAAGTAATAACATTTAACAAAAACAATCTAGCTTATTTTTTTTCTATATCATAGGGCTGATGTTAAATGATTTGCAGAAATAGCAAAGGTTTGTCAAGCCTTAGAAACTAAAGTAGGAACAGTTTAGGAGGGTACGTTGTCTGGCTAGTTGGTTCATCTTAGTTAAACATATAAAATAGCGCAAAAAAAGACAAGGACAAGATGTATACAAGACAAGCGCCATCGTGGAAAAGACAAGGACCTGTATGTATACTTCTTGTGCTTTACCTTTTTTGCGCTATTTTATGTTTCACTAGAAACAGTTTTTTCGATGCGTGTAATCCCTGTTCTGCTGAAAAAAAAAAAAAATAAACAGTTCTAAAGTTTATCATCCTTCAAGTGACACAACAAAAACAAATTTTATGGCACACATTTTTCTTTTTATAATTATTCTTTACTCGACGTCATTCTCTTGCTGCGCTGGCGGCGAGGGCCGCGGCCGCCATCTTCGAGGTCTCTATGTCTCATACTGCGTAGCGTTCCGCCTGCCGTTCCGGTGTCAAATGAAAGCCGCGATTGCCACAAGTTTACTGGTTTCGAGATGTTTTACGATATTCAAGGTTCTGTTTCTATTTTAGTGCTTTTCTCTCACGTTTGGATTATTTCCTGCTTGTTTTTTGTTGCTAGCGCATCCAGCCACTACGGCGGTGCGACAGTGTACACTACCGTGCTCCTCCGTCGGCTCGCTGCCTTGCCCACGGTGGTCGTTTCTTTGCACAAATGCACGGCGCGGCTTCTCGTGTAAGCAGGGAATATTAATGCGGCTACGTGAATTAGCGGAGCGACTTTCTGGGCGAGAAAAAGATAATTATTTGAACAAAGTAGGGCGTTGCAGCGGCATCGACCTCCTCGCCCTACGAGACTATGACATGGCGCGTCAAATGCAGCCTGTTTCTGTATGTACAGTTTATTAACGTGAAGAATTACCTCGCTTATAGAACGTGCTTCCTGACAAAGCGCGATGTGATCCTTTTGTAATGAGCATCAGACTCTCCCTCGTCAATGGCCGCACCCGGATTGACGGAGCACCCACTCGGCCCTTCTCTTAGACGTTAATGCCGCTGTTTTCTCACACTGGCTAGTAACCACGTAGGGGATGAGGAAAAAGCTAACCTTCCTAAAATTTTCACCTGCAGGTGTTTTTCTTTTTTCTTTTTTTTTTTTCTGTGCGGTTAGAAGAAGTTTAACGCAACACGGTTAACAATCTCTCAAATTGATATGCGGTGCGAACTGTTCCTCCAGCGGCAGCAAAGAAAATTAAACGAGCCGCCGCCATAGGCATTTTTTTTATTTTATAATCAACGAAGTGACTTAAGATAAAAAAAAAAAATTGCATTAACGCGCGATTAACCACACGACCGCCCAGTCAAACCGCCAGGCTTCACCAGCCATAATATATTTTTAAATAAAACGCGCGCAAAAAAGTCAGGAACAAAGAGAGAAGCAAACAGGACGAGCGCTGCCCCTGTTTTTTTGTGCGCTGTTTTTAATTTATAAGTCATGAACCAACCCGCCCGCATTGCTACCTTCAGTTCACCAGCCAAATGAAAAAAAAACGTGAGACGCGATCTCAAAGATGGCGGTTCGACGGTGGCGATCCCTGGCAAAAACCAAACCTGCCAGCTCAGTGAAGATGATTGGCCGATTGAACCTGAACGGCTGAGTGTTGCATACGAACGAAGATGGCAGACCAATCATGGAATCGTGACGACTGGCCAATCCACTCCAACCAAGAACCACCGACAGCTCGAGAAACACCAGGTGGGGTCTCTTAAAATCAAGCTCTTCGCCTCGGATTCCTTCTTCAGTGCTCTTATCGTCTGATTCTGCACTCTTATTAGCCACGGAACGATAATTATATTTCCGGAGTCGCCACGTCTTTTGTTTCTTTAACTGTCAGGTACTATAGCAGTGTGGCGGGAATTTGAAAGCTCCTTCGAAGATATTAGAACACTCCTGGAAGGCACAGAGAAAGCAAGACCCGGCAGGGCAGTGGGAACAGCTGCCAGGAACTAAAAATCTGCCCTCACAATCACCGTTTTTTTTTTTTTTTTTCTTTAGCGTGTTTGCGTTTTTTGGCGGAAGAAATTCCGACGTCTTTCAATCACTTCCGGTCGTTTTACATCGTTTTTCAGCGAGCAGGGTTTCAGTAAATTTTTCTGTTGCTCTTGAAATCGGCTTATAACGAAGGTCATCGAAAATATTAGCCACGTGGCGAGCTCTTTGCGAAAGTTCGAAACCAGCCGGAATTGGCTGGAAGACGTCGTTTCTTGTCGCCTAAAAACGCGTGCACGCGGAGAGAGGGGGCAGGTATATGCGAGGGCAGTGGGGAGCTTACCTAGGTAGTTCTTCACTTTTTGTTTTTTTTTCTGAATCGGCCAATCAAACATTCTCCAATTCACGCAGGATAGGCAAGCAACATCACCGAGATCGGGCCAAAAAATCACGAAAGAAAAGCACAGACCGCAAGATTGCCTCTATTGTTTTTGTTCCTCGTTTATTAACAAGCATACAAATACACGAGTAGACGGCATACAGCTACTATAAGTATTTTTTTTCTTCTATGGAGCATACAAAGCTGAGCACACAGATTGCAGCGTAAAACAAATAGGGGAACAAATGAAAACGCTGCCGTGTAAATTCAGATAGCCTCACTTTGTTACTGTGGTAGTGGTAGTAGTAGTCGCAGTACAGAAGGGAGGCTGTCACATCCAACGACACACCCTGTACACAAAGATGCACATCTTTTTTTATCTCCTCCCTTTCTTGTTACTTTCCAATTCTTTTCTTTTTCGATTATTTTCTTCTGGCATCATACACGCACAATATAGGTGGCCTCATGAGCGTGTAAAAACCTGCAGCGTGAAGAATATACACATACATAAATATGAAACAGCGACTCCCGCTTGCATCTGGCGTAAACTCCTCTAGTGACTAGGTTGAATGGGCCTACGGTCGTTTTTTGCTGGGAGCTTGCTGCGAAAGGGTCTGACCGCTTTTTGCTACACGGGCTCCCAACTAAAGCTCAATTTCTAGCTCGTGGCGTTAGGAAAAGCATCACTAATAGGAAATTTATCTCTTCTCTACGGCTTCGTAGAAAAAGCCGATAGAAAGCAAACGCATTAGATGGCTGAATTGGATTTGGAGACTTTGACTTTGTGTTGACACTTTGCATACATCCGTCACCACACGAAGCAAGCCAGTTGAACCAGTGGCAAGCAAGAGCGAGGGAAAAGGACATGTTTCTTTGTTGTTGTTTTTTTCATGGCATCACATTTGGAGATGGATCGCGTTTCAGTTTTTATTTAATGCATCCGTTATTTCATGAGTATAACGCCTTAGTAAAAAAAAGAAAAAAAAAATAATTTTTCGAACAGCCAGACAGCGAGACGCTCCAGCAATATCTAAGAGAAGTTGCGTCTTCACGATAACAACTCTTAGAAAAGGATTCTAGTTTCAATTATTATCTGACGTAGGTATAACACGACTGTAATTACACCAGCTAATGCAGCACATTGACAATAGAAACATATGGCCAGCTGTGAGTTAACAAAAACATCAACGGCACTATCCACATGTCAGTCAGGAAGTACAACTTTAATTATCCGCATTTTTTTTTTTTTTTTTTACTACCCACGTCTGTAGGATCCGCCGCATATATTTTCTCTTCACAATTTAATCCCAGAAGAGCGTAGATGCAATGCATTTACACCTTCTTACATTCTGTCCTCATGTAATGAGTGTAAAATTTCAAAGATATGTCATGTGTCCGCATACACAGCTCGCACTTTCCTTCCGAACGGCACGTCGCCATTTCTTGGCCCCCAGGGTTGTGAACATACTACCTAAGTTAGCAATATCACAACACTTCTGAAAAGGTGTCCACTGGCAGATTGAACCCAATCATAGAGCTTGCCACTATGTAAAGTGGCATATCAAAAAGGAAGGTAGTTGGTATCAAAGCTTATCCTTGGTTACTCGCTAATGTTTGTTGATGAGACTTTGCAGTTTGAATACTATTGTATGAAAGTTACCTAGACAAGCGGAATACTCCCTATAAATTCATAAAAAAATTGAGCAGAGTTGAAAAAAGTTTGCACCAAGCGATATTACGAGAGACGCCATTAAATGCAATGTTTCGACTCGGAGATTTTTTGATGGGAGGCTTTCCTCACCTGCTAGTCAGAGAAACGAACAGAACTGCAAGTAACAATCTCGTTAGCACAAAAGTAACGTCTTTGGAATATAAAACCTTAATACTGAGAATTTCACTTGGGACGTCACGAGTATGAAAGTACGAACATAAATAAAAACCGTTATAATGGCTTCGACTACAAAAGTCTATAGGCTTAAAATGCTCCGCTAAGCTGGCACTGACATCATCATCTTTGGTGGAAATAGGTATAGGTAGCAAAGCATCTAGAATCGCTTGTTAGGTGCCAGGATTTTTCCCATAAAAAACCCCGTCACCCCTTTTTAAAAGTGTAGAAGTTGAGACAAAAAAAAAGAGGGACTCTGAAAATTTTGCGCTGACAAATTCACACACTGTCGGTGAGCACGTCATAAAGGCCATCCGCGTTTGTGTGTGTGTCGAGACGAGGGTTACAGGTGGCGAGAGAGAACATCCTCATTTTCAGAGTCTGAGATGGTCAGACAGTAAAAATGGCAGTAAACTTCACTACAGACGGTCGTTACACTACAATTATGGATGCGAAAATGTATGTATATAGCATGTATACACGAATAGCACTAGAGATAAAGCCAGTGCTGCTGACACACCGCGGTGCCAGTACGGAGTTAGAGGAGCAGCAACCGCATGACCATCGTCGCGGCGCCGGGCTCGAAAGCCAAGACACAGGGGAAAACTTATTTACATGGCGGGGAAAGCAAAAGCCTCGGTGCATGTACAATGCTCTTTTATTTCTGCGCCAAGCGACCTGTTCTTCGTTTCCTTTGACTCCAACGAAACCTGCAGAAGTCCGAAGAAATGATACCTCCTCGTTTCTTTTGACAATGAAGTGTGCATCTGGCAATGTACAGTTGGAAGTACTTCGTGGAATTACCAAAAATTTTGTAGAAAGGAGCGTTTGATAGGGTTGCCACTCTCTCCCCGCTATCTACAGACTAGAAGTGAAAGCTTGAGAACCAATTGTGAGTGCCGCAGCCAGTCGACCGAGGACTGCGGGCGCGGCGGGAGAAAAAAAAAAAAGCTGTAGCCTCTAAAAACTGGGAGCCTCGGACATGCGCACTTCCTACCTCTTTCCCTGCCTCTCATAAAGACGGGAGCACCATTCTAAAAAGAGAAACAAAGAAAATCATTTGTAGACTCAAACGGGCGACGTAACCAAGTGAGGCTGGAACGTCGGCAGTCCCATATTCAGGGATGGGAATGCGAAGGGGAGGGCAAGCACCGTACAAAGATTCGATGACTTTAGAAACGTGCAGTCAAGCACGCTTTCCCCTCCCTCCCGCCCCTCCCATGAGCAAAGCTCCCGCCAGGACGTGACCAAAATTCCTACCCCCCCATCCAACAAAGACTCTAATCTCTGTTCTTCCAGGAATAAGCGCGGTACCGCGGCCAAATGAGGGGAAAAAGCGCGCCGAGGCGGGTGTCTTCTTTTTCTTTCGGTGTTTGTGTGTGTATGTGTGTGTGTGCCCGGCTAAAACAAGGAATGAGAGATGCCTCTACTGTTTCGAAATAAAGACAACACATCTTCTGAGAGCAGAGATACAGATTCGTACAAATGACGACACTTCCCTCTCTGAGACAAAAAAAAAAGAACAAAGGGGAGTGGCCCCCTCGCCCCCGGAAGAGGGCCTGAGAGAGGGCCTTAGTTGGCGGCCACCTCCACCGCCTGAGACGGTGGCGGCGGTTCCGCCGCCTCTCCGTTGAGCTTCTCGACCTTGTCCTCGGGTTCCAGCTCCTTGGTCTTGTCTTCGACGGTCGTGATGACCTCGTCCACCTTTTTGCAGTTGGTGACTTCCACTTTCTTGGTGACTACCTCCACCTTTTTGGTGACCACTTCCACCTTCTGCTCGGTGACCTCTTCCGTGTTCGGGGCCGACTCCTTGTCCTTGGGCTCTTCCTCCTCGCCCTCCTTCTTTTTCTCCTTCTCGTCCTCCGCTTTGTCGCCGTTCACCTCGCCGTTCACTTGGCTCTCCCCTGCAGAGCCACGGATGAATGGATGGTAGATATTAACGGCTGTACTCTTTATAACAGGCGGTAGCTTGTGCCACCGAGCCTAGAAATTTAAAACATGTGGTTCCTGCCCTCTTCACTCAACGTGGCTCAACAACAGTTGTCAGAGCGAGCACATTCCACGCAGCTGTCTTTTAAGCATAACATACTCTTTTTGAAAAGCTGCTTCTACTCAAGCATGAGTAAACTGCCATGAATTCGGCAATTGAAATCTATCGATCCCAGTACATTATTCTCGACCTTAAAGTTAAAGTTTCTCACTCAACTCAAATGAAGATACCAGAAAATAACTCGTGAATCCTTTTTGGTTATTGGAACAGGTGTCAAAAGTATTCCTATATACAGGTATGGCAATTGCATGACCCCATATATGGATATCTTGGACAATTCCAGTGCAATCCGTGATTAATCCCCACGAAGTTCCTTAAACAAAACTTGCAGATTTATATACAATAGTGTGGTTTAATTTTCCCGTTATTATCTGTAGTTATGTCAAGGTCAGACCAGTTGGAGACAATATGCTCAGCATGCAAGAACTTAAATTTGTCTTATGGAACAATTCAAACTTCATCAATGCTAATGTACAAATGTTTTTTCTAGAAAAGCCTGAAATGCTACGACTCTAAAGGTTCTACCATAAAAGTAAAATAAAGTTCAGAAATAAAGTTAACTAGGAAGCATATTATTTTCAATAATAAAACATTGTTAAACCAGATAGCAAAACATCCAAGCAAAAAAACACACACAGTAAGCAACCAAGCCAGCTTGGTTAACCCTGTTAGCATTGAATCACTGTAATTAGTCAATGATAGTCTCGTTAGCAACATTTTACGTCGTACTATTGAAGACGTCTCACTCTTTGCTCTAGCTACTATTTTTGTTACCATACTCAGTTTGTATAAAATTTCATTCAAAAATCACAATAAGTTTTGCATCCCTTTTGCTAAAAGACTTCAATATCGAAGTTCATTGCTTTCGCCAATTCATGAGATCACGAAACTAAGTATAACTTTGTTGATAGGTTATCGGTCACATTTTTCCTGCTATTAAATTCATGTACGCTGGTTTCGTTGAACTTCCATATGAATATGTGCATTGATTCCTTGTCTGTTGCGTTTGTTTTTCCGCCTGTTGCGTCCAAAAACTGCCGTCCGACGCGGCTGACGCGGCAGGTTGAACAACCCAGTTGGGCGCGTCGTCTTCTCTCTGGTTCGCTCTATTAACGATAGCCATCTGTGCTTCTGACTCTTCTTTCGGGGGGGGGGGGGGGGGGGGGGGGGGGGGGAGCGGAGCGGAGGAAATGACGCTGAACTAGATTTGGAAGGAATTAAGGCTTTTGGAATCAACCGTTCACCTTTCTACTTCGTGGGCACGCGCTTCTGCACTTGCTTAGCGACAATCCCCAACGCTGTGCAAAGGTGCGCACGTCAAGCTTCCCTGCTTCCCACCGGCGTGCTAGGGGCAATTGCAGTCGCGAGGGAACACCTCAGGTGCTCGATGGTCTCAGAAACGTTGCTGGCACTTCTTAGATTAATATAACAAGTCGGCCCCTAACGGCAAGGAACAAAAAAAAATCCATTTACAATTGAATATAAATGGCAGTTCTCCACAGCCACTGAAATCCATGTAAAATAGATTGCTCGGTGTCAGATTTGCTTCTTGTCTCATCCATACGTTTCCGAAAGCATCATCGGTTGTCGCGTTTTTAGAGAGCAGCTCTTATGGTACGTTTAGACTTGCGGATCCGCCAGCGGATCCGCCCAGCTTTTGCCGCTGGGGCGAAACGCTCGGCGGAAAACGCGGCGGCGAGCCGTTTAGGTCCGGGATCTATTTCTGCCGCCGAACGAGGCGTTTCGCTGACCGGATGTGACATTCTTGCGCAGCGCGACGCTGCCTACGTCACGAGTACGCGTTCTTCCGGGAGCAGCAACGCCCGGGAGAGAGAGAGCCGAGGCGGGAACTCTCGCGCCTTCTCGTCATATTTGACGAGACGTTGCGGGAACCGCTGCCGCAGCCGGCGCTGCCGCCACTGCTCGAAGGAAATAGATGTAAACACAACCCGCTCGTCGCCGCCACCGCCGGGAGCGGATCCGCTCCCGCGGCAGCGGATTTCTTTCCAGGTGTAAACGTACCATTAGGCGCCCGTTTCCGGCTTGAGAGGCGTCGCCGTTGCCGTCGGTGTAACCGCGTGGTGCATTATGGGAATTATCCCATAATGCACAGCACGGGGAGAAGGAGGACGGAGCAGGGGGAGCAGGACGAGGGGGAGGGAAGAAGGAGGGGAGGAGGAGAAGGGAAGAGGAGAGGAGGAGGGATAAGGAGGAGGAGAGGAGGGAGGGGAGGAGAGGAGGGAGGAGGAGGAGAAGGAAAGGATGAGGAGGAGGAAGAAGAAGAGGAGGGAGGAGAAGTAGCAGGTAGGATGAGGAGGTGAGGACGAGCGAGGAGGGTTTACTCTCCTCCCGATACCCTTCCCTCCTCCTCGTCGAGCTGCGCTCTAATTCGGCGTTACAGGGCTTTCATTTTTTTCTGGTTCATGTTTTCTTTAGTTATTTTTTACAAAATCGTATTTCTTTTTATTAGCCGAAATGATTGAAAACGAGACCTAGACATTACCATCAAAGCGCGAAGCTTGGGAACTCAGTATTTGAGAAGTACAAAATCAAGCTCCCAAAGCCGAATTTGAAGTTCCCGCGCGATCTGCCCCAGTGCAGTGACATCAAAGTTTGAGTGTTCTTGCAACTCGAATTTCTCTCACGCCTCCGAGCAGTACTGACCGGAAGTGCCGTGGTCACCCGCGTACCGCGGTCAACCGCTCTTCTCCGTGCGTGCCGCCCATCGCTGTGAGCAGACGACGCTTCACTTTGGAGTTTAAAGTTATTTTAGGGATCCTTTCAGCGATCTCAAATTATTTTAAACGGAGTGAGGTCGAAGAGGACGCGCAGTGGACATTTGTGAGAGACGTGAGGATCCACGTCGCGCCTGTTCTGCGTAAAAGGCTGCTCCGGCAGAGTCAAAACCGAAACTACGGTACACAGACACCAAACCAAACCCAGTTGATTTGAACGTTTGACGATTTACTTTTCGAAGTCTGAGAGGTCGTCGGGCACCTAAAAAAGATGATTTCGTCCGATTCCCCGATTCATAAATCATGCGCAGTGCTACATGTGCCAAGCGCCACCGCGCCGCCATGTTTTCCGAGGGAGGATAAAAAGCTAGGATGCGATATCACTCTGGATTCCATTTTTCGTATTTCAAAAAGGAGGGTCACAGTGCGTTCGCAATGGAGTTAAAAAAATGTTTTACAAATGACGTTATCAAATATTAAGGAACGCCGCTTACAAAGCTACTAACTTTCATAACCGATTCTGTCACAAATAAAAATAAGCGAGGACGTTAGAAGAGGGAGAGAAGACCGTCAAAAAAGAAAAAGGCGCGCGAGGGCAATTTTTTTTATGCGTTGTGTTTTTTTTTTTTTTTTTTTTTTAGTGTTTATTACTACAACTTGCATCGTATTAGAGAACAAGAAAAAAGAATACGACGTTTAGGGTGTCACTGTCCCTTTAAAAATGCAGCAGTGATATTCTACACGTCTTGAAGCTTTGGTTGGCGAGCTAGTGTATTGAAAAAACTTCAAATCCATAAAGCAAAAAAACTAGAATTCGTTTTTTTTTTTCATTCTTTTGCATGTGCATAATCTAAGAATCCATAAGACTTAAATTTCACTTTTTGTTTTGACCAACTGTCTTCTTTAACAAATCAACATCCAAATGCAGACGACATTCCCAGTGCCATTAAAAAATTCGTAATATACACAGAAACACAAACTTAGAAGACTAATTTCTCAAGAATGAATAACTTGCTCAATCTGCAGCATGTAAACTAATGCTTCCAACACACTTTAGACAGTGGCAAAATTGGTTTCCTAGCGTATCGCGCTGCGATTTACTACAGAGGTGTCACTAGGTGGTGGAAGCATGGAGGAAAAATAATAACGGATGACATTTACCTTGTTCAATAAACAAAAAACAGAAACCTGTTTTGAGCTATCTATTTTGGGCATCCACAGACAAGGTCATGGTCGGACTGGCCTAGTTGAATGTGCTGCCAAAAGATGGCGCAACGTGAGACAGGAGAGTAATGCGGTACCTCGACCGATCATTTCCGTACCAAATATAGGGAGCCACGAGGGATTTAAATCCTTATTTTCTTATTAAGTTCATATAAATTATCGCACAATTAGATTTTAGCGTTAGCGAGACACGCGCTGGGAAGTTTGCGAAGATCGCCTGCTAAGCTCAGCGCCGACGCGATCGACAATTCCAACATCTGTCGGCGGCAGATTTAACTAGGTGAGCCCGGTCGTGACGTCGACTGCAAATTCCGCGGCAAGCAGGGTTCTTTTGTTTCTGTTGTCTTTTTTTGAGCAAGATAAGCTTATCCGTTGATATTTTATCCCCACGCTTTCACTGCTTGGTTGCAGCTCTGTGGTAAATCGCAACGCGACACGTTGAGAAGCCGATTTTTGAGGGCTATCTAGAGTGCCTTAGAAGCGTTAATTTACATGCTGTATAGGGGTTAAAAGCGCTAAAAACGACGGACGAGTAGGAGAGACACACACCACAGAGCGCTACTGGCAACTGGTTTATTATTGGAAAAACCACACGTACCGCGAAACCAACAAGACACACATCCGTTCCGCGAAACCAACAAGACACACATCCGGTACGTGTGGTTTTTCCCATAAGAAACCAGTTGCAAGTAGCGCTCTGTGGTGTGTGTCTCTCCTACTCGTCCGTCGTTTTTAGCGCTTTTAACCCCTAAACATGTTCAACCAACTAGCCCAAATCCAAACCCTTCTGTTACATGCTGTATTTCACTGAGTGCGAAACAGAATATCTGCATTAATACGACCTCAGAACTAAAATTCCTAAAACTGGACGTGCCACAAGAAAGTAAGGATGACATCATAATCGTGTAATCTGATGAAAGGGAAACAGATAAGCTGGTTCCCCACCGCCAGCTACTGTTTCATAGTCCCACTAACCCTTGCAGTTTATGTGGTTTCCTGGATATCTTCAGGTTATCCCTACATTTTATAGATTATGTCCTGCAGACGTTCATAAAACATCTGTGCTACTTGGGAACCGACGTCACCCAACCTCCCCATTCTCAGGGAAGAGGCGAGGCTCACCCTCAGTGGACATCTCCTGCTTCTTCATCTTCTTGGACTTCTTGACGATGCCCAGCTCGATCATGCTGTAGGCCGTGTCCAGGATGGACTGCTGCACGTCCCTGGGCTCAATCTCCAGCACCTCCCGCATCCGGCCGTTGTCGTAGGCGCTTGGCTTGTTCAGCTTGGACATGAGCAGCTTGGAGTTCTTGTCCACAAGGCTGTTCAGCCACATCAGGAAGAAGGGCGGCCCCGCCGTGGAGATGCTGTAGCCTGCGGGGGACGGAGCAGACGTTAGACCAGTCAGCACCTGTTGCCGCTACTATGGTCTCCGACAGTTTAAGAAACACAGGGCATGGCATGTTCAGACATAGCCTGCTTTATGAAGGAAAAGCCTGCGCCTTTCGCGCCAGAAAAATAAACTGCCGGGTCCCGGGAAGAGTGAGAGGAAAAGTACCAGGCCCGGGGGGACTATTTTGAAGGCAGCGCCACTCAGGAATCCTAGGGGAATTCTCAGGAACAACATTTCTTTTCTTCTTTTTCTCATTTGGAAGAACAAGTAAGTAAAGAAGAACCTGGCTTCCTCCATAGTACCTTTCTACAACTTAGCCTTCTCTCCTAGTGGGAACGGGAGCAAGTGAGAGGATGCGCCCTGGCACAGGAAAAATAAGGCAAGTCGTAGGTGGGGAGAGATATCAGACAAATGTTTTTTTTTTTTTTAAACAAAAACAGGAAAAGATGACAGTTTCGGAAAGTGCCTGTGAATTAGTGAGGGCACCACCCACCATATATCTTCTTTAGGTCATCTCTCGTTCTCTTACTCCCAGTTTTGTGACTGGATTTGGTGCAGAAGGCGCAGGCCTTCCCCCCATATAGGAGTCTACGATTCAGAGCACCTTATCATCGCTCCGCAACGATGATAATGATGCATTAGCCCGTAAGAACGCCAAGGAACAAACCGCACGCAAAAAGCAAGAACATAATAACTCGCGCCTTGCGTCTAGTGAATAGTGCAGAAATCTTAAGCTACATGAATATGTCCATCGAAATATCCGTAGTGGATATTTGGCGCGCAAATTGAGACATTGCAGCTACTACTGCATAAATATCTACTAACCTGCTGTGTTCGTTAAAATATTTTAAATTAATACCACATATCTTTGTCAAAAGATATACATCTATATTTAGTGTACTAACCTAAATGTTGCCACCACTTCTGCAGAAATTATAAGCCACCCGCATATGTTCGTTAAAGCATCCCTTGAGCATGCACACTCAAATCAGGCGCCTCACAGGAATATTTCGTCGCCCTATCCATATTGTATTAACTTAGAGGTAGTGCATGGTTCGATGACCAATGCCTAACGCATGGACTGTATTTGTCTGGGCTAAAACAATATCCAGCAGGAAGGAAGCAATCTATGTTTACAGATTCTATACCCAACTGCACCTGATGAATGCACCATGAGTAAAAGTACTACAGATTAGGACCGCAAGGATGACTTACGACCTCCAGATGACAGTGGAGATCTGATGTTTTTAATTATGCGTTAGCACTCTAATAGCTTTGATCAAAAACTTATCAGAGTAACCTGATGATAGCGTGCCTAAACTGAATGTATACGATGTTCAAAAGAAAATGTGTCGTGTTCAACCAGTCAGTAATATAGTCAATACGGGAGAACTGTGCTCCCTTCATCCCCTGATGCACAGGCAATGCCGATAGACAGTCTGCTGAGCACTGGAAAACAAGGGCACATGGCTGCAATTACTTAAAATAAGCAAGAAATAATATAAAATCAAGTTCATTTGTAAGCTGTTTCTTCTTTTTTTTACATCTTAGGCAAAATTTAGGGTAATTATGTGCTCATGCATGTAAGCCTCGCATATTTCTATATCGCACTAAAGAATAAAAAGTTTCACTTTTTCTATTGTTTTATAGACTTAACCGTCTAAAATACAAATTTCGATGTCAAGTTGATTTATTGCAGAGTTATTTACCGTATTCTCTTTACTATAGTAGGCACCCGGTCTATCATCCGCAAAAGCATATCTAGGTTGAAAAAAAATGTTTTTCCTTACGTAGTCTGCACCTGGAGCATAGTCTGCACACGAAAACCTCTGATACACGGCACACCTTAACACAAAGAAACTGCTTTGTATCATAGATAAATCATCAATAATGTACTCTGTGATCCATAAAATTTGCTATATCTCATCATAATAAACTACTTAGGAAAAGAAAATTCATGTATAGTCCGCCTTTCTATATAGACCGCACTAGATAAAATTTCAGCTTCTAAACATGTACATTTATTTTGCATACATCATTTTGAAAGATATGGTAATTTCACACTAATTTAGCAACATTTTTAGTCAATGATTTGACACTGCAAAGGTGTGGCTAAGGTACCAACCGTGGGGCTTGAATTCCTTGGCAAGAGCTGTGGCCATGTCCTTGACGGAGATGCACTGGTTGGTAACAATATGCCTGTTTTCAGCAGCAGCTGAAGCAGTCAGTGCTCGCACGTGGGCACGAGCCACGTCCCGCACATCTACCACGCTCAGTGTTGCCGGAGGGACCAGGGGGATCGACCGATCCATGAACCGCTTGATAACCTGCAAGACAAAGGCATCACTTAGGGCTACCCTTCTTCGTGTTTCTTCACACAGGAAATATCCTTGCATTCCTACAATTAACCAAAAAGTTTTTTTCGAGCAAATTGGTGCTCTGTGTTAAGTATACAGTCATGTATCGTTTACATGGGCCCCATTAATATGGATACCTCGCTGTCTGGTCAAGATCTTTATAGACCATCAGCGTAAATACGAGTTTGTTTTAAATCTCATTATTTTACATTTTTTTAGGAAAACGAATATTAACAAGACGTGACTTTATCTAAAAGTTTAATAGATACATTAGCTGGCAATACCTGGGCCCCTTTTCACCTAAACATGAAATGGTGGAGTGGGAAAGGATGTGAGTAGATTAGCATGCTGATGTGATCATTATAGAGGCAAAATTTTTAAGTTCTATATTTATTTTGGTAAAATTATGGTTGAGCTGCAATTAACAAATTAATCTAGACACTTTACACTGTCATTTTGTCAAAACTTGGTATAGGATATAAATCATCATCTGTTACATGAGCCAAATACATATTTATTCTTAGTATACTACTTGCATACCCTAATGAGCCAAAGGGAATGGGATTTCAACCTTCAACCCATAAGCATCAAGCAATTTTTCTCGGGATGACATTTTTTTCTATTTATGCAATATTTACCAGACTATCATTAAAAAACTTATAAATATCAAAACTGAAATAGTCCAACTGTATTCACTGAAAAGTGCAAGTACTTAACACAGAAATGTTGTTACAATATAAATCACAGATTCAGCATCCTATTGCAAGTTGTAGAACTCTAAATGAACAGCGTTAGAGATTATAATATGCTTCTACATTTAAAAGGCTTGTTAAGCAGTAGGTAATATCACTACTAAACTCGGGAATGCCAGCATTGACAGTACTGTCTGTTGCAATGTTAAACATATGCTTTTTAGAATTATGTTTTAAAAAGATTTTGACGAATAATTAACCGACCCCCCCCCCCCATCCCAACCCCTCCTTTATCCTAAATGTGAGTCCCAAAATTATAATGAATCATAAGTTCTTCAAATACAAAGAAATAAAATGTAACATATGTGTTATCTATTGAGTGTTCCATAATGTAAATAGAAAATCTAAGATCTCTTGACACTTTCGTGACCGTTACTAAGATCTCGACTGTCTCATGACCGTTACACAAAGTGCCATTGTGTGCCTACTGAAGGGTGACAAAAACAAGTATTATGCTGATGCAATTGTAGTAGCACATGGCACTCACACCTCTCACTCTCAGCTTCTTCCTAGTATGTTGCAAAAACAGAAGAGCTTATTGGCACCAACTCAAAACATCAGGCCTTGTATACTGCATGATACAAGAAAGTCAGAAAGCCGCAAAAGGCCATTTTAGAAAATGGTGCGGGATACCAAATTGAAAACCCTTTTTTTTTCTTGACAGATAGTCCCCAAACATTGACACATTTATCCCATGTCTTTAGCAGTGCCCGAACGCCTGTTGCGTAAAATACTTTAAGCTGCTGCCTCGGCCGCGTGCGTACCTGCCGCATTGTTGCTTCTAACGCACTCTCAACATGACGTCAACAACATTTCAGTGCCCTTGGGAAAATTTCTCAACCCAGTTGTGCACCGCTTCATTTACTTCTCAACGTAAACAGGAAAAATTTACTTGCGATTATCCTATGCAGGATACCCTTTTGCCCACAAAAAATGCACAACAGCACACTGCTCTTCTAGAGTGCACTCCTCGAGCACAGTTGCCATTTTTAGACTAAGCTGCGCATGCATGCTAATGTTACCTACTAGTTACTGCACAGTGTATATTATGAAGCTAGATTGTGCTGCCACCTTTTAACGTATTTGGAAACGAATCACAACTTATATCAGAGATTTTTTGTCAGTTTGTGACTTGCTTACTTTCCCTCGTATATGGCCAATTCTTTGCTGAGCCAAAGCAATGCATTGCACAGATTTACGAATTATTGTAAAGTAAGATTACCAACCAAAACACTAGTGGGAACTCCATGAGTTGTCTTCTGGAGCAGAGGTCCAATGCACAGTCCAGGGTTGATAACCACCAGCTCAAATTTCTTGTCATCTGAAAAAAGAACAAAGCGATAGTGATGAGATCATCATACCTCTCCTTCGAAACCCCGCAATAAAATAAAGCAACAAATGCCAAAACATGCTAAAAGGTCAAGAGAAAAACATTAGTCTGGCAGTGCACAAGAGATACCCCCCAAATTATGCCTGCAAAAACAGGCATAATTCGCAAATATAAAACACCCTCAACCTTAGAACCTTGCCTAGCCACATGCCATGACAACACATTAATCTTGATGACAAACAAATAAGCACTGCTAGTTATCTTGAGAAATCATTACAGCTGAAATGCTGACATACATCTTCAGTGGCACATTGCATGGCATCCCATGCCAGACTCATGCGGTGAAATAGGTGAATGCCCTAACACGCCTTTTGTAAGCCAAATGCAAATTTATACTACTACACCAGATAGGTCTGTTCAGAAATCCCTTAGGTGGCTTTCATACACATGTGCTTCAGCAAATGGGTGGTTGAGCTGTCAGCAGCTTTCTCTGCATTGTTAGTACAACTAGCAGTTTCTTGAACTCAATCCGCTCCTAAGACTGGTGTTAGTGTACCGTTCATCTGGTGCACTGGCTTGGCTCCTTGTAGATATGTATGGTTTATGGCATCACATAATGCACATAAAAAAACGGCATGCAACAAAGCAGCATGCATCAGAACAAGACAACGTCAGAAGACCACAACATAGAAACAGCAAAGCAGCGAATGAGCGTGTGTTTGAGTAACTCAAAAACAAAAGGTCGCCGGTGTGGTTGGTGCAGTATTTGGACAGCATTCATTGAAAGCAGCAGTTTTATCCTCCCAGCACAAATGCATTTTATTTTTAATGTGCACTGAAGCAGAAAGCATGTCAAGGCAATGGTATACTTACGGCAAGACAATTATGTATTAACTTTGGCATGCAGTTTTAGTTACATAACTTACAAAGTGCGGTTAATTTGAAACCATCTTTAGATTTTTTTAATGGCAATTGTCTCACATAGACAATACAGCAGTCTTTGCTTTGTGAATATCAATTTATTGCAGAACTTGAATGCTCCAAATGAACCTTAGACAATACCCCTGCCACTTCAAATAAAATTTAGTCATATACCTGATGAAGATTTGAGCTAGCAGAAAATCTGCATGCAATCCTGACTCTGCACATTTAATTTGGCATGTGCTGTTTGTCGGCCCTTGAAACTGCAACTTCGACCCGGCATTCGGTTTTTTTATGTGAAGATAATATTCGCAAGTTATTATGCAGATATCTAAACAAAAATGGTCAAAGTCAAGACTACTATATGTTGGCAGCAAAAATCACATATTGAAGAAAGTAATAAAAGAGGAAAAACAAACTTCCAAAGGTCTCTGACTACCCATCATTTTCAGCTATCTTTATTGTGTGAAAATTGTTGATATATGAAGAATTTAGACTGCAGTATATAAATCAATGAGAACCCGAGATGGCCATGTTAGAAAAAAAACTACCTCAGAGTTTTTCCATTCTGCCCAGGGTGAATACATCTCAGACGCTTGCTGGAAGTATTGCTTGCAAGTAATGTTGACATTTACATAGTGTCTGTGAAGTTTTGTGCCTAAAACACCATCCTCATTCCATATTATCTCTATTAATGGGCAAAAAGTAATACATAGTTTGAAAACTATACCTGTCTTGCAAAAAAAAAAAAGCTGCACGAAAAAGTTGGTGCAGAGTATACAGAAAGATATTTACTCCAGTAACATTCTCGGCAAGATGTGCATATTTTACTGACTAAGTACTATGTACGTATTTGGCAAAACTGCCATCGTCAACTGCCACATTTGCGCTGCATGCCAGACTGACAATCACGAGCGTTTAACTGGTGCAATTTAGTGCCATGTGAAAAACGGATGTCTGGGCATCGATAAAGCAGTTTGCAAGAGTAAAGGAGTAAAATCTTTTGTCTGGGCACTTACCTGAGAGTTCCTTGACAAAGTCCCAGGCGGCCTTCTCTTGAAGGGTTTTTGCCTTGCCATAGACGTCCATGGTTGCCGACTCTACATTGCTCCAGTCACTCTCTGTGAATGGCTTGCCCTCACGCTCGCTCAGGGCACTCGCTGGCTGAGACTGGTCTGCAAAGTATTAAGTGGAACGGCGTGAATTGGTTGGATGGACCTTAGTTCACAACAGCCCACACCTACCGTAAAATATCAAGAATGTGCCCCTGACACAATAAGTGTCCACCCACTATTTTTAAGTAGTCGAAAATTAAACAAGAAACATATATCGCGCGCAAAACCCCAAACTTCTGAACGTACAGAGCTAAAATGCTCCACCGCGCCAGCCTCTTCCACGAACACGCCAGGTTGCGACGCAGAAGCTCAACTTCAATTTTTTTTTCACGCGAGAAAAAACATTATTTTGATAAACCCTTTGCTTATGAAGGCAATAAACTCTCCCTCTAAAGTCGTTATTTTTCGTATTTTTCCTTAAATCATCTCAGGGTCGAGGAAACGGCTGCAGCAAAACTGACCTTTTCACAAATTTATAATATTTTTCTTCTGTGAAGTATTTTGTTTTATTGTTTTAAACCTTTTTATTTGTAATACATCCAGAGGGCTTCCAACAAAAAGAAATTAGAATTGTCAGGCGGAAATTGATAATTAAACAGAAAATTCAGAAAAGTGCAAAATGTTTTTCATTTTGTTGAAAAGTTTGAAAATATTTTAACAATAAAAATGTCCTAATCACCACAACATAGTAAAATAAAAGCCGTTTGAATTTAAAGAATAAAATGTGGGCTTCTCAAAAGAAAAGTGATTTTTACTCAATTATTGAACGATGCCTAGTTTCAGCTAAAAGCTAAAACCATGCTCACACAATTAAAAACAATTAGGCGAAACTATTTGAAGAAAAGGTTACAAAGTTTAGAAGAAAAAGTCATTAACATTCTTTTAAAAATCAGAAATGGTAAAACAAAAAATCTGGGATGTTTGGCGTGGGATGACCCATAAAGAACCGGGAACGCCAAAGTACCAAACGGGCAACTGCTAACATATTCCTATAGCTGCTGAATGGGGCCCTCCTTCGTAAATGTAGCGGCTCGAAAAATGTGTAAACAGAGCGTAAGGAGTGCCACCCTCGGTTTATATATTAAACATACTTTTCATCGTTTACTGGAAACTACCGAAGGACATCGTGGTTCATTGAAAGGTATCAATGGCTGTATTCTATAAATTTGTTGACATATCAAATATCTCCGTTGACTGTAGCGCTAAGTTTAACGATATGTATTGAGCCTAGGTGTGAATGTCCTCGCTAACCGGAGACTGCACTGATGGAGCTGGTGAGCACGACCCTCTTGACGGTGCCAGCGTCTGCACAGGCCTGAAGCACGGCCTTGGTGCCATCCACTGCCAGCTTGAGTGCATCCGTGTCCTTGGAGAGCGACGAGTGTGGTGTGGGACCAGCAACATGGACCACATATGTGCAGTCCTTCACAGCACTGTAACAAAAAATGTGAAGAGTGAATCTTAGATCATCCTTGGATTAATGTGAGGAGACAATAGTAAGACAAGGAACTATGGCAACTGTACCAGAGACCAGATGTTGTCCTCGTTGACAGTCGTCTATTGTTATGAAGAACAACCCTGCAGGTAATGTTACCTCTCGGCTATAGCCTATCAGGCAAGTAAGTACTACAAACCATTGGCGGTTTTAGTGGGAGATGAAGGGGGTCAAGATGCCCCGCCCCCCCCCCCCCCCTTGAATTATGGATGTAAAAATATTTAGGGCGGGAAAAAGAAAAATATTTAGGGCGGGAAAAAGGGGGAAGGCGTATTTTTTTAAAGCATCTTCTACGCTGATCCCCCACTCTCCTCCCCCCTCTGAAAGCACCGGCATCCAGACCTGCTACAAACTGCAATTAAGTGGTTGCTGAGATTTCAGGAGATGTGCCTTTAACATTCACGCAAGTTTATAAAGCCCTGTGACTTAACTCTATGAATGTGATAAACAATACCAAGAGAGTTTTAGTCAATAATTACTATGAGCAAATCCAGAAACCTGGAAAACATCTGAAAATACCGTCTATTAGTCCCGTGGTTCTCAATTTATCTACGCACACCCCTGCAATGACACCGTCATAAAAAAAGGAGAGTGATAAAGTGCTTCTATTCAAGAAAATGTAGTATACTTTCCTATATTGCAGATCTGCTTTAGAAAGTATATACAAATGTGCAGGTTTGAGTGCTAAAACAAGAGAAGTCATGTAAACGATTCGGCCAGAAAAAAAGATATTTACTTTTACACATCGCATAAATAAATAAAGTGGCAATATAAAACTTGTTTTCATACTTCGCATAAGGCCGACTGACACAGAGTGCATCCGGTGTTCATGTCGGCATCCCTAACATTTACCCAAAAAGACAAAGAGGTGAAACCGATCTAACCAGGTCGTAGCACGTTGTAAAATCCCACGCCGCAATCCACGTCAATCGGTATTATGCAAATTACTTGGCAATAGGGTTCTTTCTTCTTTTTTTTAATACCACTTTATAGTGCGCCGTGATGGCTGGGCGGTATAGTAAGCTAGGTCCATTGACAAGTTAACAAACGAGGGGCGTAGTTTACTACGTTCACACTCCTTACTTCGCAATTGGTCCTCTGTCCTCGCGTTTAGTTGTCGGTAACTACGCACACACAAGTCAGGGAGGGATTAACTGCGCCCGAGTATAAACGTTTGCAAGTACGGCCCCTGGGTGCCGCAATCCTGCTACTTCGTGGATAGATCATCTGATAGTCGATCATTGCTGCGGCGTTCCCACGGTGTCCAGACTGGCGCCCGAACAAAGCGTTTTTCATCCGCGGTGGTCAGACTAGCTCTCGAAGCGCGATTGCTTGCAAGCGTCTATACTACTAGGGCGGAATAAGTAACTCAACTCTTTCCAGGTGTCCTCCTTGAGCAGGTCTGCCTGCACCAGCTCGACGGGGTGCTTGGCGTCGGGCACCAGGTCCTTGAGGAACTTGACCTTGTCCTCCTGGTCGAGGCTGCGCACCACGGCACGCACCCGCAGCTGTCCATCCTCCAGCAGCAGCTTCACCACGTGGGAGCCCACGTAGCCCGTGGCTCCCGTCACCAGCACCACTGCAGAAAACAAAAAGAACGTTGAGGATATTCCGTCCTGTATTTCTAGATTGTCAGCAGGGATATTAATTATGGAATAAGTAATCTATGGCCGGAGAAAAAAACGAGACAATTATGATACAATTTTTTTTATTTTTATATCATGTAATATGTATAACATGCATGCATGTATTGCGATTTTCCTTACGTATGGGTTAAAAAAAATACGAAGTGCAACAAATACAATATACACTTATGCAAAATTAAATATATGCATAGAGCGTCATATTTCTCACATAAAAGCAAGCGTATGCATTTCATATTAATTATAATAGCTTATTTTTCGCCTGCGTAGGGGCTCTGTCGTTTTCCAGACGACATTGGTGATTTTCTTAAAGTAATCATGGTATTCCAGTTTGATTGTTAGCACATATACAAAATTGGAAGCCACAAGGGCAGGTGCAAATAGGGAATAAAGAACTACGAAAAAGAGAGGAAAGTATAGTCGTCAAGTGATTATTTTATTTGCATCAAAGAAGTTATTCAATTTGCCAACAGCTGTGGATCATTTCGTTCACTCGATTCAAAGCATATCAGTCATTGATGCACTACGCATCACATAAACTACGCACTTCCCTTCTTCCTGTCTTCTTCAGCTAACGTAAATATGCGAACATCAACAACAAAGTCCGTATAAAACATGCACATGAAAAACGCTTATTCGTTATTGAAAGAAACGGTCTAATAGAGCTACAGCGATGTTCCCAGAAGAAAAGAAGCGATACCGCCGGCACGTGCGACCCGACTCGCCAAACGCACACATGCATTCATAATCAGGCAATGGAGAGAAAAAGTGCATCTCCCCCTAAACCTACTTCCATTCATCACTCCAGGCCAGCGAGACGCCGCCGCCGCCCAAAGGAAGCATACGCCGAACGCACGCCCAGAAGAACCGGCGAAAGAAAACCGGCATCGCCCCTAGCACCACGTGACACCGCCATCCCTACTCCGAGAAGCGGTCGCCATGGCAACCCGCGGAGCACCGGGAGCGGCAGCCATGACCTTTGCGGGAGTTCACTGCTCGCATCGGGAGGCTTTGCCATGGCAACGGGAGGAGACGATACCACGTGACCCGGCGCTTCTGGTTCCCTTCCTTCCCGCACCTCTGATAACGATTAAACGTGAGCGACGGAGCTTCACTCCTCTACGGGATGCAGCCGCGGACGCCCGCGACGTTGGCCGCCAGGGAGGAGTGCGAACGTCTGCCGCCGCCCCCCCCCCCCCTCCCCCCCCCCCCCCCCCCCCTCCGTCTCATGAGCTAAACGTTTATCATCGGAATGGGAGGTTTTACGGCAGAATTAAGCCCGTAACGACGTCTTCGTTCACGGGTTTAAGACGAGAGTGTTTGCTCGGCACGAGCACACGGGTCAAAAATACCCTTTGGCTCAAGGAGCGCTCGACATCTTCACTGCGAGGGTTTGTGTCATCCAAGGGTGGCTGAGCACTGCACTAAAGAGAATCTTCGTAACAGCAAAAGGATGAAAGAGAAATAAAAAAACAAGCTGTAAAAATCTTAAACAACTATGCAAACGGTGTTCGGGCTGTGCTTCCTTTTCGTTTTTCTTTACTTTGCGTTTGGTAATTCTTCATATTAATTTTCACCTTAGAGTTGATTCACGCGAAAGATGAGAGGACATAGAGACGACGCGGCAGTTAGGCAACACCGAGGTACATCCGTTTAAATGTCACAATCTGGATAAGGTGCCATAGATGAACCGAAGGTAAGAAGAAAGCAAATATTAATTCCATTAGCTGGAAATGTCTAACGTGACCAAGCCAATTATTAGATGCGGCTAAGAAAGCTTGCGTCAACGTTTTCCCTTGCGGTGTAACAACTCGCGAATACTTAGGTTTGAGCTAGCTGCGTGTTTCCAACTGTTCAGATTATTTATATTTTACAAAGACTCACTTGAAATTTTGAAGTTATTTTATAATACTTTATTTTTAACAGCGCTTGATTTCTAAAGGACTTTGACGGATCTTTGTGCATGTGTCCTATTTCGCAAAAGCAGAACGCAAGAATAAAAAAAAAAAATACTTGTTTTTTTTTTATTTTGTTTCAGAGCCAACCGCTAATGGCTTCCCCTTTCTTTATTGTTGTCCCGCGATGATCAACACAAAACTGACTATTATCTGAAGCACGTTTTTATTACTATATATAATTTGACTCATAAAAGTAATTTTTATGATTACCGAATATCCTAAAACACATTGATGTAAGAAAGCTTGAACGCATAGTCCAGGGGAGTGAAACCACTGTATATTTTATGGAATGCTTATTTAACTACAGGCTAACAACCCCGACTCTAAGAAGGATCATTCACCCCACGACCAGGCGAGAGTTATTATCGAACTCGTCCCACCAACACGCATACAACATCCAAAAACTGAACAAACAAAAGCTCCCAAAGCATGCGAGGCCTACCTTCACCGCATAACACGGATGTCGAGCGGCGAAGACAGTGACGCCTAATCGCGCCATAAAAGCGGCTGCGGCGACCACGAAAGCCCCGAGGGCAAGGCGACACGCAGAGGCGACGAGCAGGGAACATCCATCCATCACCATTCTCTCAGCAGGAAGTCCTCTCTGCCCTCTCGAACAAAAGCGCGGAGCAAAACGAGCCACGATTGGTCGACAAAGCTTTCCGGCGCGCGACAAAAGGGAGTTCAGGTTCGATAACCCAACCAATAATCCCTCATCCCCTTCCCGACTCGGTCCCGTGTACGAGCAAAAAAGATGCAATCCTCCCCACCGGGCGGACTTAAGCCGCCATCTCACCGTGTGCCATGAATCAAAAGTTAACTCGGCGCAACTGTCGAGGCAACTTGTCCACGGGGATCGTCATTACTCGACAGAGCTGTATTAATAACCAAGTTCCGCTGACAACCCAAAATTGCGTCGCTGATCGTCGGAGTTAACGTGACAAACGATTACTCGGTGTAAATAAGGATCATGGGCACTGTTGTCGAACTGGAGGCTGAGGCAAAGAGTTCGTAGATTTGATCCCGGAAAAAAAAAAAAAAAAAAGCGCCCGGTCAAAGGCTGTATGTGTGTTACCTGCATCAAAACTCAAGCAAACGTGGCGGTTGTTTCCTCATTCGCGTTACAGCGGTCCATTTCTTCTAACAGTCAAAGCAAAGCCTAACTGTATTAGTCGATCGGTCACAAAGTCTGTAAGGCCTCTCAGGCCACGCCAGATAACGATTGCCATGTCTCTTTACCACTCAGCAAACGTCTTCCAACTGACCGACCATAAGGTCCACTAAGGTCCTCATGGACACGTAACGTTAAGAACTAAACCTAGCCACGGTTGTCTACAGACGTTGAGGTCCACTGAGGTCCTCACGAACGCATGTAGAAAAACATAACAAAAAATTAAAGACGTTTACAACGAATATGTCAGTTCCGATAAAACTCCATTGGCGCCGGCTTGTTCTATTGCTTCTTCAAATCGATGCATTTCAGTAAGGTCGACAAGTTTCGACAAAATCTACACGTGATACATTCCTTTCTCACGGCCCAAATAAGGTAATGTAAGGCGGCACTGGGTGCATAAATCGAAGTAGGTGTCTGTTTGTGTGTGCGTGCTTGGAGAGGAGGGGGGCGACGGCGTCGCATCTCTTGATCCGTCCATCCACACGCCGAACCGAGAAAGGCCTCGGGGAAGGTCGCGGGTGACTCATGGTATACCCCTCCCACAGGTGGTGAGTCAGCGCAGAATGCAGCAGCAGGTTGCGATCCCCTCTCGGAGCTCGCGTGTCCCGTACTCCGGTGAGGCAAGCCGCGATACCGATAGCAGAGTCAAGGACGCGTTCAGCCGAAGGGCCGTCCATCGAGCACGTCTGTCGTTCACGGCAACGTCATCCTCCGGCTTGCGCTGGTCACGTTGGGCTTTTATGAAAAGAGCAGCACGCTAAGAAGAAAGCGGCTGCCTGCTGGAGTTTATCGATAGCATCTGTTTCAGAGGCGCCGAGTGCTTTGAAACGGGCAGCTTCTAGCATGCAACTGGCGCGCGAGTGTTTGTCGATAAATAATGATATTTTAATCTCGCCTTTCTTGCCTTGTAGGAAATATTAAAAAAAAATAATTTCATTTATGTGTCGTCCTTTCACTAAAGGCACCGTACATTCTCGTTTCGAAAAATAAGACCGACGAACTGGTGGAAATTGTGGCGTATTAATAAAAGGAATAAAAGGCTGCTAGTGTGTACTGTCACGCTCATGATGAACGTAATAAAGCGACCTTTAATGTTAATTATGTATATACTTTGGACTTAAAGCTTCTAGAAAACATTGGGAGCGACATTTATCTCTAAAGTCCCGTTATGCACGAAGCGTAATATTTCAGGAGCGATCGTCTAGTTTTGTTTAGAACAGAATAAACATGATGTGGTACTAAAATATAAAGTCGTGGTGTCACGTACTTTACGGGCACGTCCTAGGGTACTTTACATCACGTGCAGTGGGGTAGCCAGGCACTGCTTGTTTGTTTTTAAAGGGGAAAGGGGGGGGGGGGGGGGGGGGGAGCACGCCACTGTTCCCTTGACGTCACCTGTCATTTGGGGGGGATGGGGAGGGGTGCGTCCGGACGAACAAATTTCTGTGATTAGGGGCGGTCTTTCATTGTATGGCCCGTTCCACGCTTTAAAATTCTTGCAATCATCGAACCTTTTCCACCTAACAAGCGCATAACATGCCAGTTTCGAGTACAAAAACATGAAAGTCCTGCTTACGACCTCCGACACGTCATTCGAGACACTCGACAGTGAGCAGCCCCACAAATTCGCCTAGCTGAGGACGCAACTTGCTCATCCGACACAGCATAAATCCAGTTGCATCCTCCAAACCTCCCTCCCCCCCCCTCACCATTTTGGGGTTTACGAAACAAGCCCAGTAGGGTCGGCAGGGCGCGGGCAATCGACAAGAGGGCCGCGTCCATTTTCCAGCTCGTCGACCGAGCA